TTTTAATACTTGAAATAAAATATAAAAATTGAAATAAATAGTATAAAAAATACTATTCTATAATTTAATTTCTAAGTATCTTTTATATTTAAGACCAGAGTTTGTTGATTTAAATTAGCTTGATTTAAATAAACTGTTTTATATATATATATATATATATTGATTTAAAAAGTCAAAAAACTGTTTTTTTTAATCATAAATCAAAGTTCTTACAGTGTATTAAAATAAAAATAAAAAATGCTATTTGAATCAAAAAGATCCGATTTCTTTTTATTTATTTATTTTTTTAAATTACGAGACTTATCTGAGACTAGAAAGCGACATCAAAGATAATATCAAAAAGTAAATTTTTCTTAATCCCAAAGACAATAAGGTAAAAGAAAAAACGCAAAGTTTTATTTTCCAAACTTAATTTGAAAAATATTATTTTAAACTTAAAAATCTTAAATATGCCACTGAGAATTATTTAAAATCTTTTTTGAATTATCCTTTAATAAAAATAACGAAAATGCGGTATTGACGCGTTTAAAAGTCTTATAGCGGTTTTCAACGGAGACTTCTAGATCAGAAGGAATGTTGAAGCGAGAGAAAACGTTCTCCGGCCTTCCCCCTTCTAGTTGGCCATGCCTTGGCCCTCTATGGACTGCTGTGTCACTGAGTTTAGTTTTAGTTTTTAACACACCTTTATTATTATACAAAAGATTATTTTGTTTTCATTTATCCGTCAATTTCTTCATTTGACAACATGGTTAAAGTAAAAAAGTTTTTTGCTATTCTGAGAAAAACATGTTTTTATTCAAAGCAAGTGTTTTAAATGTGACAACCGTAATTCCATTCATTTTTAAATGACTTAGCTCTTTAACTGTTTTGCCATTAATCAAAAATATATCATCTCTGCTATATTCCTTAAATGATTCGCATTGTATGAACTTGATCATGAACAAACTTGTTCATGATCAAGTAAAGCTTGCTGATTTTATCCTGAACTGAATTCAAATATTAGCAACTTAAGGGTTAAATGCCATCACTGAAAATCTTATAAAAAAATTTTTTTTTATTGCTTTGATTACAATTGGCACTAAATACTTGGCACTTTGATGTCTAAAAGCTGTTTATTCTTAATACAACATTATATTTTTGAATATAAGGAGAACTGCTTTTTTTATTGCCATTTGAGTTTTAATTTAAAACAAAATTATTTTAATTTTAGAAAAAAATTCAACAAAACAAATTATGATTCTGTTCTTAGTTGTGGCCTTTGTTTGGAGGAACATTGACAAAACCCAGCAAGAACAAACTGTTCTACATACCCCAGGTATTTTTTTTCCTTTTTACTTATTATAATTTATTCTTGTTTAATATTTATAAATGGTAAGACAATCTTAGGTTAGAACTTTGTGCTTAGTAAAATTGTGTTTAAATTCTTTAATATTTCGTTTTAAAAAGCATAAATGTATAATACAATTTTTCCAACTTGTATTTTTTGATGAGATTTTTCAGAAATCTGTCACATATGATTCACTTTCGGTTTTATTGATGGCATTACCATAACTATAAAATCTATTGATGGTTTTGAGAACATCTGTGTGGGGAATTTCTTAAAAAAAGTCATGTTTATTTTGATGAAATGAAACAATCTTACTTAATTTTTAGAAATAGCTCCTTAGAGTTATTTAGTTGTTTATTAGCATTTAATGACATTGGAGCACAAACAATGACTGTTTGTTCGCCCATTTTTAACCTTTTTTTTCTAATTATTTGTGAAAGTAATTGAAGTACAATAATTTCCTTTAATTGCATATTGGATAAACGAATAACCCACTTATACGAATAAAATTTAGGGTAATCAAATTATTTTATATGACACATTATTAAATTTCCTCGCTCAATTGCATTAAAAAAGTGGAAAAAATTTCTAGTTGCTAGAATGGAATTTTCGTTTTTCAGTTAAGTAATGAATACAATTGGTTTCTTTAATAGGAACTTCCTATTCGTTTCAGTTCCAAAAACTTGTCTGGAGGCAGTTTAAGAATAAGCAATTACTGGGGAGGGGGTAGAAGTTTTTCAAAGCTGAGTGTAATCTTATAGTTTATTTCAGAAAATAAAATTGAGACCTTTGTCTATAATGGGTTATTCTCAGTTAACAGGAAATATTGGTCTCAAAAATTTTATTTAACTCATGATATTTTTTAATACAAATATTTATGTTTACTCATACAAAAAATGACTGGCTAATGTTTGCCTTTATTATATTTTTAATTTTTCAAATTTTACCTTTTTTTGCTTTCTCAGTGTAAGTGAAATTAATATTTGCTGATGCTTTGGAGACACTTTTGATTTTTTCACTGCATTTAGCTTTTAACTTTTAGCTAGTAAATGCATAGTTTACCTATGCCTTTAATAAAAATTGTCAAATTGGCATGTTTTCAGAAAACCTTGGTAAAACTATTTTCGAATTTACCGTTTTTAGAGCTAAATTATAAAAATAAAAACTTGTTCTATATTTATAAATCATGAAAGTAGCTCTAAAGCTCTTTGTAACTCTCTCTGAAAATTTAAATTTATTAAATATTCTATGTCTTTAGATCACATTACTATATTTCCACAGCATCTTTGTAATCACATTTGTAACATTAAGCTTATTTTGGTTTTATTTGTAAGAGGTAAAAACTAGTTTGTTGTTAAAAATAAAGGCAGTCTCAAACTCTTTTCAAATCATTTAGAAAATTTAAATTTATTAATTATTTATTTCAGTGCTAATGAAAATGTTAATGACATTCAATTGCCTATAATTTTGAAACAAAAAAAAGAGTGAAACAAAAAAGTTTTTACTAAATTAAACTAAAAGAAAACATAATTTGATTTTAAAACGATATAGTCTTGGTACTTTTATTGCTTTAATTAAGACAGTCCAATGCAGTAGACAGATACTGAATAAAACTTATAGAATTTTTTTAAAAAACCCTTGTAATGAAATTTACAAGATTTAATATATTTTTTTTTGAACCTTGAAATTTTACTTTTTTGATATTTGAACTGTGCAGAGTAAGGTTTGCTAAATATTGCTCTCAAAAATTTTAAACCTTCTTGTACAACTTGTTTAATTGACATTTTTTTGACCAAGATATAAATCTTTCTATCATATATCTGAAAATAACCCCTATAACCATTTTGTGGAAATTTTATCTTACTTCACGTCTTTTCAAAATTTCTTGTTAATGCTTTTCTTAGTAAAAACAATGTTTTGCCTTTGTTATTCAAAATGGAAAAATAATGTTCTAGTTTTTACTGGAGTCAGAACTCTAGGAGTATTATCTATAACATATAACTTTGTTCTCTTTTCCTTCAAACTACATTTATATAATTAATTTTTATATTTTGCAGAGACCATATATGACTTTAGGCACATTTAGAGATCAAATTATATATCCCGATAGTCATGAGGAAATGATTTGCAAAAGAAAATCTGACCAAGACTTAAAAACTTTATTAGAATGGATAGAGTTAATTTAGATAATTTTTTAAATTAAAATAATGTTATATAAACTATTGAGCCTAATAAGTATTTGAATTGTTATGCTGTAAATCTGGCAAATTTATAAGTAATATCAAGCGTTACAATGTAAGTTTTTTTTTTAACAAACATAAGTACTATAATTATATCATAGTGTGTTTTTTTCTTTTTTCTCAATAATAAATGTAATGCTGTTAATCAAACAAATTGAAGTCTCTAAAAGAAACTATTTCAACATTCAATAAAATCAATTAGTGTTTTTATATTAAAATATAAGCTTATGGTCTTATTTTAATTATTAAATAAATCTAAAATTAGTGTTTAGAGAAATTTTTACATGAGAAATTAAGTTATTAATAAAATAAGTTAAATAAGAAAATCAAAATATTTGTTAGTTTGTAAAAAATATTTGTATAAAACATTTTTTCCTGATATAATTATTTTTGTAATTTGAATACATTTATCATTATGGTTATTTGAATTTATTTTTACTTCAGAAATGTTACACATAAGTAAAATAAAACTTGTGTGAAAAATAAAAATACTACATTGAAAACAACTATATTGTTTATTTTGCATTAATTCTTTACTAAATTCAATTATAAAATTATAATTTATTGTTCCACTTGAATTTATTTAATTATTATTGTGGTTAATTTCTTGTAATTGTTAATGAAAATTTTTATTAGAATATTAAAATGCAGAACGTTCTTCTTATATTTTGGTTACAGATTTCTTTTTCAATTTGTCCATTAAACTAATTGTTAATTGATAAGCATTTTTAAAATTATTTTAAATAAAATTACTTTCTAATGCAATTTTCATTAAGATTGTTATTTCTTGTCAGGTTCAATTAACATACATCCTCGATCAAGAAGGTGGTTGGGAATCCATAAAAGTAAGATTTTATTTTTTAAATTGTATTTCCTTCTTTTATTTTATATATTTAGCTTTCTAATATAGTCATTAATTTTTTTCTAGGATTGGATGGATTTGCTTAGTGGTGGAGAGAAACAAACAATTGCTGTAAGTATTTTATATCTGATTTTTTTTCTCACTTTTTTTTTCTTTTTGTACTTTATGATTTTTTTCTTTTTGTCCTTGTAGTTTTTCTTTTTGAGTTTTATAAAGTAATTGTCATTTTTAAAACAAAAATGTTCAATGTAAAAATTAATGTGTTTTGGTCTAAACTGTCCATTGCTGTAGAAATCACATTCAGAACTTCCAGAATATTTATTTTTACTTTTATAAGCAGCATCCCTTGGTCACCGGAATCAAGAGAAAACAAATTACTACCAAACCTGTTGTTTAGTGTATCATTCTTTAAATGATTGGATAATTCCAAGAATCAAAGAATGAAGTTTGCTGAAAGGAATTCCACTCTCAAATTTTGCAACACATGCTTTCTTTTATTACCCTTCCCATGCTTTGCCCACACCACCACTCTTCTGATGAGTCAAGGGGGAAATCCCTTCTCACAGACAAAAGGAAAATAATAGAATAGAAAGCAATGCCAGAAGAGGTACGAACAGATAATAAACTAGTAAATAAAAAACTTCGAAGATGTTTGTTCGAGCTTTGTAGTAAAAAAAAACATGATTTTTGTCTGTTAGAAAAGTGTATAAAGCTGGATTTTCTTAAAAGAGAAATATAAAATTTGAAATATTTTAACATTATCGGTATTGGCAATTTTGACGAACTGATAGAAAATAGGAAAATTTACAAAATGTAAAACACTAGTTCCACTATAGATAAATTGTTATAATAACTTTAAATTATATTTATTACTATTAGTTTTGCTCTGTCAGTTTCCTTTCTTTAGTTATGCAGGTAAATGATGCTTGGTGAGCAGCTTCTAAATCAACCTGATCATCTGAATCATTTGAACTATCATCTTCATAAACCTACTTACTGAAGAATCATTTTTTTCCGTATTTGAATTCGACTTCTTCAAAGTACCATAAAAAAAACTATCTGCATGTCTTTTTGTGCTCACTTGCCATTTTTATTGCTACTTATTCAGTAGCGCTTGCTTAAAACCGTGCAAAACAGGAATCCACTCCCACCATCCAATGCCAAACCAAAGTAGACAAACTGCTAAACAAAATAAATATTTTTTCTCCTAAGTAAAACCAAACTATAATATTTGCCTTACTTGAATTTACTTGGAATAATAATTATTTGCCATACATACCAACCAAAGACTACCCAAGATAATCAAGGAATCAGTTAATCATGTCTTTTCTACTAATAATGTTAAATATGTGTCAATGTAGAATACTGTGTCAATGTAGAATATGACTACAGTTATTCCTCCTTATCGCATTTGTTTTTAATTAAAATGAAATTTCAGCAATTAATTTGAAAGTTTCATATTTTGTGTTTTTCAGATGGCTCGTTTATGTTATCTGTGCCCTCAATTTGCTATTCTTGACGAATGCACAAGTGCCGTTAGTGTAGATGTAGAACAAAATATGTATGCTGAATGCCGTGAGGTAAGGGAGCATACTTATTAGTAATAATTACTACAACAAAAATTATTGTGTACAGTGAAACTTTTACTTAAAAGTCATCTCTTTCTGCTTACTTTTTTTTATTTTATTATTATTAATATTTCACTCTTTTTATAATAAAATTGTATTCACTTTTATAGATTGGCATATCTTTGTTTACTGTATCACACAGAAAATCATTATGGAAACATCATGAGGTAAACCTATTTGTTTATCAGTCATCTGTATGTAGTAATTTTTTTATTTTCTGAAATTATATTGGGTGTACAAATAAGTTCCTGTCGTTAAATTTATGTTAAATTTGCAATCCTACATTAAAAGACTTAAACAGCTTTAAGAGGACCATTAAAAGACTAAGAAAAGCATAAACCTCAACTAAGTAAAACACTTGTTTGAGTTGATACATCTATAAACAGTCGAATGTTAGTACTTATTGCAATGTTTAATCATCAAGAGCTATGTCTAACAACTCTCAGTTGTGAAACAAAAAGTAAAAGTAGTAAGTAAAAGTTAACATCAATCCTTTCAACTTAACACAGTGAAAGAAACTGAAATGTAGTTTATTATAATAACTATACTACACAGAGCAATGTGGTAGGTAAGAAAGAAGAAAGGAAACAATTGCTATAGCACTTGAAATAAAGAAAGATAATTTTTTTGTGTACTTTAGATTTTTTTAATAGATAAAAATAAGACTAACGTTCTTATTTTACTGATTTTTGCTTAAGACTGTAGTTTAAATTTATCTTTTTTTTTTTAAAAAAAATTTTGTTAAATTACTTTTCTAACATTGTTTTTTTTTCTTTTTTCCCTACTACTTTTCAGTTGTCTGCGTATTATTTTTGGATTGCTAGAAGTTTTTAAAGGTCTAAACTTTAAAAAGAAATCAACTGGGGGGGGGGGGGTAAAAGTTGCTGTTTTGGGAAAAGAGTTATCTTCAAAACACTGTAAAACGCCATTTTTCAAAATTTGAGTATTGGAGCAATACTTAATGTTGAAATCATTAATTTTGCCTAGACTTTTAAATTATGTACTTAAACTTATCAAGTTGTAGATATTTAAATATTACTGAATCAATAATCTTAAAGAGATGTGAAAAATGTAATAGAAATGTTACGTTAAAATTCATATTTATTCCAAACTAACTAAAATAATCTTTTCCTTATTTTTCTAATCAAAATTTCGAAGCAGCTTTAATTGGATTTGAGTCTACTGAAATTTTAAGCACTTTCTTGTAATTTGTGCCTTGTTGTTTGCTGAAGATTTTGATGCTATATTTTTTAAATAATATTTATAAATATCTATTCTTTCATAACAATTACGAATAAATTTAAAATTATTTATTTTCAGTATGTACTGTACATGAATGGCCGTGGTGCATACGAATTTAAACCCATTGACAAAACAACTGAAGTGAAAGGATCATGATTGAACTAGGTCTGAAAAAATATATATATTGGTTGTGGCCTTATTTTAATACTCATGCAGTAGCTACAATTGTATACGTATTGATTGATATTTCAATTCCTTGTCTTTCAAACATTCAGTAACTGTTATTGAGTATGATAGATTTCGATTTTTGCCACATTAATTTTTTTTTAAATAATATTTATAGCATAATTTGTATAAAAAATTTACAGAGTTTTGAAAAACATTTTTAAAGTTAACCTTGGTCAAATGGAATTCCAATGTTTTATTCAGTAGAATCCAATTATCAGATGCCTTCGGGACTAAGGATATGCCAGAAAATCGAAATCCTTGGATAATTAGGGGACCTTTTTAAGTTTATAACCAAATTATGAATGAAATTCCTCTAGTTAGGGACTGAAATTAAAAAAAATTCTCATTTGTGTATTGTTCTAGCAAAAGAACAATACAATATCATGAAGAAAAATATCCTCTCCTCTTTGCTTTCTGTTTGACAGCAATTTTCTTACAACCAAATTTTGGTTTAGTCACCACTGCAGTTACTGAGCAGCAGCATCTGTAATAATAAACAAAACGTGTTGGATTGTGTTTAATGTCAGATGGTAGAGGTGTCAGAAATCCTTGTATAATTAGGGGGCCTTTTTAAGTTTATAACCAAATTATGAATGAAATTCCTCAAAATAATTAGTGACTGAAATAAAAAAGAACTCTCATTTGTGTATTATTGTTCTAGCAAAAGAACAATACAATATCATGAAGAAAAATATCCTCTCCTTTTTGCTTTCGGTTTGATTGCAGATTACTTACAACCAAATTTTGGTTTGGTCACCACTGCAGTTACTGAGCAACATCATCTGTAATAATAAACAAAACATGCATTGGATTGTGTTTAATGCCAAGCTGTAGAGGTGTCAGTTAACTGAAGTGTTATATAATTAAGCATCAGATGATTTGGTTTCAACTGTATTACCAACAAAAAGTTTTGAGTGTTTCTAACACATGGATCAATAAGTCCCGAGACTAACAATGAAAACAACATTTTTTTTGCAAAATTTTTTTTTATTCATCAACATAATCACCTTTTAGGGTGATACAATCGTTCCAACACTTTTCCAATTTTTCAATACCATGTTTATAAAAAAAATTATCTTTCGCTTCAAAATAAGCTTCAGTTTCAGCGATGACCTCCTCATTTGAGCCAAATCTTTTTCCCTGGAGCACTTTTTTAAGATCAGCAAAGAGCCAGTAGTCACTGGGGGCTAAATCTGGCGAGTATGGGGGGTGGGGAAGCAGATCAAAGCCCAATTCGTTCAATTTTGCCATTGTTTTCATCGACTTGTGGCAGGGTGCATTGTCTTGGTGAAAAAGGATTTTTTTTCTCTGCATGTGC